TTTGATTCCCCAAAATTTTAATCCCACCCCCCCCCCAAACACCCTGCATTTACTTCCTTTACAACCCATTATAAATTATTAAACAAAACCAGGTGAAATTACACACCCCTGTCTAAGACCCTTTTACCGGGGAAAGTATCTCCCCTCTTCTAAAAACCCCCAACCGAGCCCACTATCCTCATAAAAACTCTTTACACTTTTAATAAACACCACCTATTCCATATACTTGCAACACGCCAATTGCTCCCTATCCACTCTATCATATGCCTTTTCTAAATCCATAAATCAATAAAAATTTCCCAAACTTTATCTAAAACTTTTCACATAATGTTTCAAATGTAAACACCTGATCACACACCCCTACCCCTCAAAAACCTCCTTGCTCATCCGAAATCCTACATTCTGTTTTACCTCAAATTTCTTTAAATTATAACCCTACCGTACATTTTTTTCCGGGTATACCATAATTTTTCCTCATAATTTTTACAGTCTTTGTCCCCTTTCCCCTTTATAAAAGGGACTCTACATCCCCTCTCCTGCCAACCCTAGGCCCTTTCCCTCTTTCATATTTTATTAAAAAAAGACCAACCACTCCAAACAAAATCCCCCCCCCTTTAACATTTCGTCATGTCCCATCATTTTCCACTGCTTTACCCCCTTTCATTTACGTAATCCTCCGTACCCCCCCACACTTACATTCTGCTCCTTCACTCCTAAAATGGTATACCTCCCTGACCAGGGCATGAATTACTCCCTCTGTTTCTTCCTTAACATTTAAAAGTTTCCTCAAAATTTTCTCCCACTCCCAAAATCCCTCCCTCTCCCCCCCATCTACTAACCCCTACTCTTTTTTTAAAAAACTGAAAAATCCATTTTTCCCCTAGGCTTTTTAACTTTTTTAAATCACCTCCAAATTTTTTTTCTTTTTTTCTTAAAATTTTTTGACATTGCCCCCTCCCCACTATCACTCTCCCTTTGCACTCTCTCCCCCACCCCTTTTTACCTTTCTTTTACTCTCCATATACTCTGCCTTTTTATAACACTTCTGCTTTTAAAAACCCTCAAAAGCACCTTTTTCTCTTTTATCACACCCTTTACTTCATCATTCCACCCAATCCCCCTCTTTCCTCCTGCCCCCACCCTCCTATAACCACAAACTTCTCCCCCACATTCTAAACTGAAATTTTAAAACAATTCCAACCCTCTTCAAAAACCCCCCCACTACCATCTTTGCCTAGCCCCACCTTTCTGCCAATACCCGCTTATATCCACTCGAACTTCCTCCTCCCTTTGTTTATACACTTTCACCTCCCTCTACTTGTTTTCCACCTTCCCTTTCCCATCTACCTCTTACTCTACTGTACTACAAAAAAAATGTCCGATAATCATTGCCCCCCCATAAACATTACATCCTGGAGCCTACCCATCAAACCCTTTTTTCCACCAATACAAAAACTAATAAACTACTTTTATTACGTCTACACATACCTTGATATTTTTTATCCTCTTTTTTATAAAAATTATTACTTATTACCAAATTTCTTTTTACACATAGCTCAATTAAAAGGGTCCCTTTAAAATTTACCCCGGCCCCAAATTAACCCCCCTACTCCTTCCATAACATTTTTTTCCCCCTTTAGCATTGAAATCCCCAAACCCCAAACTCTCACACTTGATTCAAAAACCCCCCCGCATTCACTCAACATTTCCCAAAATCCCTCTCTCCCCTCCTCTACACTTCTCTCTCTCCAGGTGCAAACCGCTTATTTTAACCCACTTTTCACATCCCAATCTTTTTTTACCCACATAAACCTTAAATTTAAAACATTTATAGCCCCTCTTTCCTGCCATAGCTTACCTTCAACATTATTACTACTCCTTCTTTACTCAACCTATTGAAAACCCCCGACCAATCCCCTTTTTTCCTCTCCCTAAACCTCCCACCCCCCTTTAGCTTTGTTTCACTTTAAAACCAGGACATCCAGCTTTTTCTCATTCAAAATCCACTCATCTCTTTCTTTTTTACTGCACAACATCCACGACATTCAGACTTCCCACTTTGACAATTTTCTTTTTCTTATTTTTTTTAGTAACTTTACAGGGAAAAAAGGTTACTACCCTTGTTCCCGGGGATTTTTTGTTGACTTTTTACAACAGCAGGCTTCAGAGGAAAGATTCTTATTTCCCCTTCCCCATGGATATAAAAGGAAAATTAATAAGACCAAAACTATTAAGATAAAATCAAAGAAAACTCAGATAAATGGTATAAATAAATGTGTACAGTATTTGTAGTTGACCTAATGTAAGTAGAAGTACATACTACCTGTAATCTTGCTATTAGAGACGACCAAAAAACACCACAATCCCACCATCATTAAACAATCACAGGGTTCGTTTTTCACTAAATTGGGAGGACGGGATACCCCCTGGTGGTTTCTGTCTACCAACCAAATACCAATTATAAAATTTTTAATATATATATATATATATTATATATTATATAATATATTATAATAAATAAAATAAATAATATAATATAGATAGATAGATAAAAGTAGAGACGACATAAAAACCTGAAACTGCAAACTGGCAGACTGTAACCCCGGGAAATCGCAGGGAAATTAAATATTTCAGATTGAAATAATATTAAATTTCTATTTCGCAAAAAATTTAATAATTTCAGTCAAATATCACAAAGCTTTTTAACGATATTAAAAAAAAAGATCATTTCAAGGAAACAAATACATTATTGGTAACCGAGTAGCACCGCAGGAATTAGTCTACTCGTAGAACTAACAGAGACTTAATTTTTTAAATTAATTTAAAATCAGGTTTTACTAATACCTTTATTCAGACCCTGCGACTTACATTATTTATAGTCATACATCTTCGAAAAATAAACAGACTATCAGACTTTTGCCATAAAATATGTTCTTGTTTAATATCCTTTGCAATCTTAAGTAACGGACAAGAGTGAGAAATATTTGACTCTCGGTGGAGGTTGATGGTGAGACTTGAGAAGCAGAAGTCTGTAACACTGTAGCAGGTCGACACTCCTTAGTGCGAGTCTACAGATGATGAGTGTGGGAGGTCAGAGTAATAGTGGGTGGTCACAGCTAGTGGGTGGTGACAGTGATAGTTGGTCACAGTGAGAGTGGGTGGTCACAGCGGAACACGTGATGGGAGTGGGTGGGAGGTCACAGTGAAGTAACAGGTGATGGGAGTGGGATGGGTGGTAACAGTGAAGCAACTGATGATGGGAGTGGGATGGGTGGTCACAGTGAAGCAATAGGTGATGGAAGTTGGGTGGGTGGTCACAGTGAAGGAACAGGTGATGGAAGTGAGGCTGGGTGGTCACAGTGAAGCAACTGGTAAGGGAAGTGGGGTGGGTGGTCACAGTGAAGCAACAGGTCATGGAAGTGGTGTGGGTGGGCACAGTGAAGCAACAGGTCATGGAAGTGGTGTGGGTGGTCACAGTGAAGGAACAGGTCATGGAAGTGAGGCTGGGTGGTCACAGTGAAGCAACTGGTAATGGAAGTGGTGTGGGTGGTCACAGTGAAGCAACAGGTCATGGAAGTGGTGTGGGTGGTCACAGTGAAGCAACAGGTCATGGAAGTGGTGTGGGTGGTCACAGTGAAGCAACAGGTCATGGAAGTGGTGTGGGTGGTCACAGTGAAGCAACAGGTCATGGAAGTGGTGTGGATGGTCACAGTGAAGCAACAGGTCATGGAAGTGGTGTGGTGGTCACAGTGAAGCAACAGGTCATGGAAGTGGTGTGGATGGTCACAGTGAAGCAACAGGTCATGGAAGTGGTGTGGGTGGTCACAGTGAAGCAACAGGTCATGGAAGTGGTGTGGGTGGTCACAGTGAAGCAACAGGTTATGGAAGTGATGTATGTGGTTTCTTGTACCTAATAAATGGTGGTGGTGAAAGCCAAGCAAACAGATTAGTTGTAAGTGTGCACCAGCAACAGTAGTAGCAGCAACGTTAACAGAAACAAATTCATCAGAAGTAACTGCAGTAAATAAAAAACATAACAGCAAGTGCAGCAACAACAGTAGCAGTTGTGATGAATGGTTTTGAAAACAGACAAGTTGAAGAATTGAGACACTTATGCAACATACGTGAATCTTTATTGGAGAAACGTTTCGCCACACAGTGGCTTCATCAGCCCAATACAAAGTAGAAAAGGGTAAGGAGAGGAGGAGTCTGAGGTAATCAGTCCCTCAGCCTGGAATCGATGTGTTCAGTCCATCACTCTTGTAGGAAGTACAACATAGGACCAGAGAGGTGGCTTATATACTGCAGTCAGATGAGTCGAAGCAGGAGGAGGCGGGATCACAGTGGGACCTGTCGCTATTGTAAGTAGGTCGTCGTCCAAACGTTGGACAAGCGTTGAAGTCTTTATACTAAAATCCCATGATGTTGCAGTGCACTTCCTACAAGAGTGATGGACTGAACACATCGATTCCAGGTTGAGGGACTGATTACCTCAACCTACATCTCTCCTTACCCATTTCTACTTTGTATTGGACTGATGAAGCCACTGTGTGGCGAAACATTTCTTCAATAAAGATTCCCATGTGTTGCCTAAGTGTCTCAATTCTTCAACAGTAGCAGTGTTACCAGCAACTCCAGCAGCAGCAGCAGCAGGAGCAGCAGTAGCAGCGCTGCTGCTGCTGAAACTAAAACAGTTGCCGGTGAAAGACAAACTGCTGGCAGTAAAGGTGACTGAGCGGGTGTTGAGAATACGAAATGTGGAGAATGTTGACTGTTGAGAGTAAAGACACAGGTGCTGAGTCAATTCTGAGGAGGTTCTAGTGAAGTGACTTATAATCAAATTGATGATTCGGGTCACATAAATGATTTAAAATAATGAGTGACGCTTAATGTAATGAAAGCAAGTCATTAACAAGAAGATATTGACACAACAGGCATTGACAGATGTAACAGTTGTATTGAGCATAGGTGAAAAAAAAAAAGCAGGTGTTGCCACGTACCCTGAGCTGGAAGAGATGTCCAGTTAGAGGATCGATGGAGAAGAAGGCGTCTTCAGGTTGATAGTCGTCGACACCGTCTCCCCGCAAAGAGTACTCTAGCCAGCCGGCGTCTCTGGCATCAGCGTCCGTCGCTTCCACCTACGTATCCAACACAGCTATAATAATAATATGATAAAGGTGCTCTATAAGATACTGCCTAATGCTAGGCAGGTCCAAATCAAACTTACCATTTCTCAGTCTTTTTCAACCAACTCGCAAATCTTCTAAATGAATTTGTTTTGTTGATGCAGCTTAGGATTTTCTTCCAGTTTTATGCAAATATACTGGCAATTCAGTGCTTTCCTATATATATTTTTTTTTCTAAATAGGATTATGTCTTTAGAGCAACACACTTTGTTTCAGCGTACACCGTACATAACAGTACACCTCCTCACAGTAAGTTATTATTCGCTAGAATCATGGCGCACAATGGTTCTCAGTCAACCATGACATTTCATTAGGTGAATCCTCGAGCACTGCTGCACAACCCCGTGACAACCGTGGACTACAAAGGCCTTCAGATCACCAGTAATTTTTTATTAACATTGTTAGATCCTGTACAGTGTAGATATTCCCTTTTTTTCAAGACAACTGTCTACTTTCAGCAGAATAACCGTCTCTTGAAACTTTGACATTTTGTCCAGGATATGACTTTCAACAGGATTGGAGTTTCTCACACATGTGCATAGAAGATTTGTCGTGGATACAACACACTTAAGTTGGTGAATACACATATTTCTACATTAACTGCTAGACGAGCAGGGGAATAGAAAAGATGCACCAGAGATGAAGGAACTCTCCACCAATATTACCCCTTAAACCCAACCACAATCATTGAAACACACTTCATTGTGAGTTTACCAGTCGATAACTCCTCACTGAGTCCTGATTTAGGTCACTTAAAACTTTATATCCATTTTGTAGCTAATTGTGAGTTGTTCCATCCACGGCATTGTAACTTTTATCCTTCCTTTTGGAACTGTGACTCAATAAGATGTACGTTTCAAAGCATCACAACATCTCTCTAAGAATACTGCTTACAAACTGTAGGTGCTCTCCACAGTCACAACTTCTATGTGATGACAGAGAAATGTCATCATTGCCGGTCAGTTTAGTGTCAATGTGTTGGTCATCGTCGCTGATCTTTATGATGACTATTGTCAGACAGGCATTAGTCTGGGTGATGGGGGCAAATTATCAGTGTTCACCTGTTAGTGAATGAAAAGTTTATCTACTAAAGGTCACTATTAATGAATTACCTACGTGATAAACACTGAAAGATCATCGAGAAATGGAAGAACATATTATTACTTATGTGGTAGCCATAATGGGCAGGTTGCCACAATTAACCTGACATGAAAATCAAACTGCTACTTCTGATAAAAGTATACCGAGGGTCAACGCCCCCGCGACCCGGTTAGTGACCAGGCCTCGTGGTGGACCAGGGCCTCATCAACCAGGCTGTTACTACTGGCCACACTTAACTCCTCGTACGAACTACAGCTCGGCTGGTCAGGCGTCTGTCCAGCTCCCTCTTGAAGGGGTCGAGGGTTCTATTGGTAATCCTTATGTATGCTGAGAGGCAGATTAACGGTATTCCACTCCACCGCGCTTTTGCCATATGGCTGCCCCCGCCGAAGGACTGTAAGTGGTACTCCATTTGACTTGAAGACTCATTGTGCCCTTGTCATGGGGCCGCAACCACCATGAATAAGCTAAAGACAACCGTGTTGTCTTTACCTTGTTCATGGCGCCCCTACCTTTCACTGCGGATATCTTGCATATTCTGCCGAGTCTTTTGCTACCGTAGGTAGCGATTTCCGTGTGCACATTTAGGGCTAGTCCCTCCAGAATTTTTCAAGTGTATATTATCAAGTATCCTCCTTTCCTGCATTCCAAGGAGTAAAAGTCAAGGGATTTCAATCGTTCCCAGTAATTTAAGTGGTTTATTGTAATTATATGTTCAGTGAAAGCTCTGTATATTCTACAGGTCCGCAATTTAACCTACCTTGAAAAGGGCCGTTATTGTACAGCAATATTCCAGACTAAAGAGAAAAGCGATCTGAAGAGAATCATCATTGGCTTGGCATCCCTAGTTTTGAAAGCTCTCATTATCCATCCTATCATTTTCTTTGCAGATATGGTATATACATTGCAGTGATCTTTAAAAATGAAATTCTCTGGCATTACCACTCCAGGTTCTTCACACTAGTTTCTCGCACTATTTGGGGATTAGAATTTGTTTTATACTCCGATCCAGTTTTCATTTTCTCGAGTTTCCCATAGCGGAGTAATTGAAATTTGTCTCCAGTGAATGTCAGATTATTTTCTGACGCCCGTTTTAAGACGTGGTAAATGCCCGCTTGGAGATTTGCAGTGTTCTCCATGGATGACAGTCATACACATATTGGTATTATCAGCAAAGAAGGACGCTTACATCTCTATGTCAGATACGAGGATGAGGAAAAGGATGGGAGCGAGTTTTCTTACATTGCGGAACAGAGCTTTTCTCTGTAGCTCCCCTGACTTTACTCCGTTTACTATTACTTTTGTGTTTTATTTGTTAGGAAGTTATAGATGCAACTACGCACTTCCTGTTACTAATTTATCACGCATTTTGTATACTATTACACCAAGATCGCACTTGTCGAAGGTTTTCGTAGTCTGTGTATGCTATATCCGCATTTTGTTTGTCCTCCAGTGCATCCAGGACCACGTCATAGTGATCAAGTACATGTGAGAGACATGAACGACCCATTCTAAACCCATGCTGCCCTGGATTGTACAATATATGGGTATCCAAGTGCTTGGCGACCTTGTTTCTTAGAACCCTTTCAAAGATTTTTTGATATGGGATGTTATTGTTATCAGCCTGAAATTCCTTGCTAATTGCTTTACTGCCAATATTGTGGAGTGGGGCTATATTCATTGTTTTTATTGTCTGTGGGATGACTCCTGTTATTACAAGTATCTCATTATTGTGAAAATTACCTGTTTACAGACAATTAATGAATGTATAATTAATGTGTACTATCTACAGCATATTACTCTACAGTATATTGCTGACTAACTTTGACCTAAAATTTAATATAAATATTTTAGCGTTGTCTCGAATGCTCTTTAAACTTCTTTCATCTCAATTTAAAACAACATTGAACCTCCTGCTGTCTACAATTTCCTGGGGTCTTCATTCTCTTGGGCCATCAACCTTCTATATGTTGGGTGAACGGACACTTGCAACTTATGCGACAGTTCTATTGTGGCAACGTTTCACTCTCCATGAGCTTTGTCATGCCGTTACAAACAATGCAAGTTCATGTTCATATAGGTTTGACAGGACGGGTCCTGGCCCGGGTCTTCTCTATGTGATGACCTGACAGTGGCTCCTGAAGGGATGTCGGAGTTTATACAAGTGATGTACCGTTTACAGCCTTATGGCGGGGGCAGTCCTATGACATGGAACTAGTGAGTCCTTTAACTCCATTTGAGCCATTCCTGGTACTCAAGCCGCAACTCGAGTGCCAGAACGACTTAAGAGATTCTCTGAAGGTGTGTTGAACACCTGACGTCTTACAAATGTGGACCCAGTCAACAATAAAAGGACACAGAGGGTAAATGTAGGTATTAAAGGTACAAGGCATAATAATATCGGTGTAGGTAGTAGAAAAGCAGCAGCAGCAGCAATGTGATGGCGGGTCAACTTTTTCAGAGATGATAAAAGTGACTTTTTTCTGTTTATGCTAGAAATGTCGATTAATGACGAATCAGGGCATTTACGTCTGCGGAAATTGGGTTATTTAGTCACAAGGCGGGCGTCGTTGAATTTCATCACGTAATTGCCAGAATTCTGGTGTTGTAGGCAGGAGTTGTTTAAGTTATCATTCCTACATGCATTAATGTGTTCACTGAGATGCGTTTCGAGAATTCTTGCTGTTTTGTCTATGTATATTCTGTCACAGACTCCACAGTCCACAGGGAAGAGTGTAAATCCCTGCATTGACTGGTTCAAGTGCTTCAATTTTGTCCTAATTAGATTATATTGAACCTTTAGCAGTAATCCGACACACTTAGTAAATAAGACACTTAGAAACAGCCTTTATTAAACTTTTCTTTAAGTTACAGCTGTATCGATTTGATCAGTCTTTCACGGTGTGTAGTATTGTGTTTGGTGAAGACTGTGTGAACGTGATTTTTATGTACCATGTGACTAGCTGAACTCAGCGACATCACAGATCTGTGGTGATCGAACCTTGGTGACACGATCATATAACGTCCCGACGGCTGAGCGGAGGAATGAACTTAGCTCAGTCCCAAGTGACATAAGAGTATATTTATAGACGGGGATTCACAACGGAGGTCGAGGTATCAAGTAAAGAAATATTCTACTTAAAAATAACAAGCTGGAAACACAAGGACCTGAGCAGTACCGGAAGTATACAGCCACTTTCATTACATACAAGGACTCATAGCAAGATAAAGGTTCTAGTGAAATATTTCCTTCTGTTTGCATTAGAAAAAGATATGAAAGCGGAAGAGACGGACCTGAATCTATTTGGCTGCAGTTTCTCAAGAGCATGTAAATCTTATTGTACATGTGATATACCGACCCTCAAGCCAAAATAGTGTTGGATGTAAATTTCTCTGGAACGAAATTGATTTGGCATCTACAGACGAAAATGTCGTTTTAATAGAAGGTTTAAAACTAAGCCAAATTAATGGGATCAATTTGAAAGGAAATCTAGAAACTAACGACTTTTTAGAGAGAGAACTAATTAGAGAAAGTAACCCGCTTGACTTGGTTGTAGCAAACAAGGACTCTCTAGTAGAGGATCTTGAGTTTAACGAAGTATTTGAGAAAGCAATCACTAATTGCTTAGACTGTATAAATCGAGGATTTTTTCCTAATAATGCTAAGAAAATAAAGATCTCCGACTGTCGCACTGCAGATTATGTGGGGATTACCTAAGTGGCGTCGACTAGGGTGACCTGATGCTAGATTATAATGAAGACAACTTGACGGATGGAAGAGCTTCCCAAGAACGACTGTTTTTTCTAACCATTGTATAAACTGCCCAGGTAGCTCGTATTCCTAACTGAGAAATGGGATCAAATATAAATGAACCATAACGGATAAATAAGAGTCTAAAACAAACTCTTAGGTAAAAATATGAGAGGAATTCTCAGGCTAAATATAAGAATAAAGGGTCTCCCTGTGAACCAAAATATTCAGTTTCGGAAGTAAAAAGGGAATTACAAAAGCTTAAAGTTGAGATGGAATCCAAGGCAACAGGATTTCTTTCAGGTAAATAGATATAAAACTAGTAAAGATATCCCAGCTTTAATGTATCTCAGGTGAACTTATTGTTAATGGCAAAGAAACGTGCACCATATTTAACACCGACTCTCTCTTTTTACATAAGAGGATGATAACATAATTTCAGCAATCATTAATTATATAAGTCAGAACAAAAAATAAACCGTGTAACATCAAAGTTACTAATGACAGTGTACTCAGACAAATATTTACAATGAAACCAAATAAGTCACCTTGCCCAGATGAACTATTTTCAAGGGATTTAAATGAATGTAAGAACAAGCTTTTAGTAAACTATTAGCTGATGTCTAGTAATTCACTATAACGAGCATCAAAATAACAAATGTAATTCCAACACATATAAGAGGAGATAGGTCTTTAGCTTCAACTTATACACCAAGCAATTCTTCCTGTATTGTGAAAAAAAATGTTGGAATAAGTAACTGCAGATGCAATTTAAAGCCGCCGTGAAAAATATAATTTGGCCAGTTATCCAGCACAGTCTTACACGGGTATTTTTGCTTTACGAATTTACTAACTTTTCGAATTAGAGAACGGGTGGGGATCGACCCATTGTATTGAGTGTTATTACGATTTCATGAGTCGCTTATTAACCTTTTTTTATTAACTACGAAATATGAAGCGGCAGATCATGATAATAAATATGCTACTGTGTAGGTGGACTTCGGTAAGGTCTTTCATACAGTTCCACACAGGTGACTGTTGTCCGACAGGTAAGAGAGAATTTACATAAATGGTGAGAAAATAGAATGGGGATCAGTTACAAATGGTGCTCCACAGAGAACATGATCTTTGTTAACAGTCTACCTAAACGACACAGATGAGGGTATAGATAGTGCCATGTGCACATTTCATGTTGACCCTAAAATATTCCGTCAAATAATTTCTGATGAGGAATCTAGAGAGCTAGAGGATGACCTGAAGAGGTTTATGTTGTAATCAAAGTTGTGGTAGATGCAGTTTATAGTGGATAAATGTAAGGCTCCAAATGTGGGTAAAGAAATTAACTATGGCACTAATAAATTAAATAAAGTAGATCTTAATCAAACTGAAAAAAAAAATTAGGTATTCTTTATGCAAAAATCAAAATCTACGGCAATGGAATTCTTGGCTTCATGTCAAGAAGCATAAATATTGGAAATCCTTAGGTTATACTTTAACTAATATATCCTTGATAAATCTTCCTTTAGATAACACTGACAAGCTCTGGTCTCCCTGTTTCAGAAGAGACGTAAATAAACCGGAAAATATACAGACATGGATTCCCAAGTTGATCCTAGGTATCAAAAAACAAAAACCCTACGAAGACCACAGATATTGTGATGGTGCTACGAATGTTGCTCTCTAACAGCAAGACTTCCTTCATGGTGGCAAAAAACTCTTAGTCCACTGAATATAATCACATATGACTGTTTCTCATTCCCAAGTGCTGTAGGATCCCTCCTAGCTTTCTCTTGACAACAACAACAACAATAATAATAATAATAATAATAATAATAATAATAATAATAATAAAATGAGTTTGTAAAAAGCCACAAAGAAACATTAAATATCGTTGGTAGGTTAACTAAACTTAAAGCCTGTCAACTACAATATAGTGATGAAGGCTGCATGTCACGTGTCCGCCACCAGTCAACAATACTTTAACACTAAAAACAGGGAGTTAACACATACAGAATATACATTGAGATACACTACTCTCGGTGTATATATTTGGAACGAATCAATCTTGGTCGTAAAAAAATTAATTCCTTTGAACATTTTATAATAAATTTTTTAAATCCACTGAAATAATTTTCATAATGCTTCAAAACTTATAAATTTCACATATTTATCAATAATTAAATATCAGTTATTGATGAGCTGTTTATTAATAATATATTTATTATTAATTTTTATTCATAAATTAATAACATATTTTTATTAACAAAAAATATTAATATAGTTTTTGATATTTCAAAAAAAAAAATTACTAAGCGTAATTTCCGGCAAGAAGGAGGAGGTGGTGTTCTTCCGTAGGTGACTGCAGAGAGGTCGTCACTATGACCACAGTGGCTACAGAGGTCGTCACTACGATCACAGTGGTTACAGGCAGGTTGTCGATACTATTACGGGTAGTTACATACAGGTCTTCACTGGTTCCACAATAGAAACAGATAAACCGTCACTTCTACCCAGTAGTTTCAGAAAAGCCGTCACTACTAATGGTGTGGTTAAACCAAGTCATCCCTAATACAACGATGGCTACAGTCAGGTTGTCACTACTACCACAGTGGCTACAGACAGGTCGTCACTACTACCACAGTGGTTGTACAGACGGGTCGTCATTTCTACCATAGTGGTCAGTCATGGCGTCAATAATAAAATATAACCGACAGGTCGTCACTTTAAATACAATTGATTGAGATGTCGTCACTGTTAGAGAAAGTGATGACAAAGAGGTAGTCACTAATAGCACTGGTGATGACTGAGAGGTTGTTACTATTAATAATAATGATGACTACAAGTCGTTACTAGCAATACTAGTGATGACTAGGAGGTCTCACAATTAACAGTAGTGACAACTGAGAGGTCGTAACAATTAACAGTGGTGATGACTGAGAAGTCGTCACAATTAACAGTATGAAAGTTAAGACACATGTGCAACATCTGGATATCTTTACTGTAGACGTTTCGCCATCCAGTGGCTCTATCAATACAGATTCTAGGACATATTTAGAAGACAGTAGAACTATGTACAAAAGATGAGGTAATCAGTCCCTCAGACTTGGAGTAGGTGTTCACACTAACTCCAAGGCTGAGGGACTGATTACCTCATTTATAGTATATAGTTCTACTTTCTACTGTCTTCTATTTCCAAGAATCTGTATTGATAAAGCCATTGGATGGCGAAACGTCTACAATAAAGATATCCAGATGTTGCACATGTGTCTTAACTTTCATCATGTCGGTATTTTATAACTTTCTTATACAACAATTAAGAGTAGTGATGACTGGGAAGTCATCACAATTAAGAGTAGTGATGACTGGGAGATCGTCACTATTAGCCTGAGAGATAGTCAAGTCGTCACGACACTAACCTGGAGAATGACTGCTGGAAGGTGTCTGTCGTCCTCCTCGACGACCAGGACCTGTGGGTGTGGCTTGAGGAACGACGGAGGGTTGTCGTTGACGTCCAACACGCGCACCTGTACTATGGCGTGCGCTGCGTCCATCCCAGCCTCCGCTACCACCACCAGCTGGTGCTACAACAAGGTGATTAGTGATGCTACAAGTGTTGAGATTGGTGTTGCTACAGCATAAATTAGTGGTGCTCCAGTATATTAAAGAAGGGCAAGAGGAAAGAAATTAGTTGTTCTGGAACATAGATGGTTGGTGCTACTGCATATGTTAGTGGTGCTACATTATTCGTTAGTAGTGCTACAGCATAAGTTAGTAGTACGATGGTACGTTAGTAGAGCTACAACATACGTTAGTGGTGCTACAGCACACGTTAGTGTTACAGCATATGTTAGTGATTCTACAACAAAGATTAGTGGTGCAGCAACATAAATTAGCTTCTGCAACATTATAGAATATTAAGAGAACAGCAGGAAATTTAGTAATGCTACAGCATAAATTAGTGATGTCAAAATGCAGGTAAGGATGCTGCAGAATATTTTTGCTCCAGCAAGTAGGTTAGTGGTGCTTCAGTATAGATTAGTGGTGCTACAGTATAAATTAGTGGTGCTACAGCATCACCTAGAGGTGCTACAGCATCGATTAGTGGTACTACAGCATAGATTAGTGGTGCTACTGTTTAGATTAGTGCTGCCACAGCATCGATTAGTGGTGCTACATCTATTAGTGGTGCTACAGTATAGATTAGTGGTGTTAGTAGGTTAGTGGCCTTACAGCAGGGAGATCAATTAAGCTACAGAATAAATTAGTGGCGCTACAGCATAGCTTAGGGGTGCAACATAGAGATTATTGGCCCTGAAATTTAAATTAGTGGAACTACATCAAGGAATTTAGTGATGCAACAAAACGAAGATTATTGCTGTGATTGCAGGGAGATTAACTGTGCTACAGCAGGACGTTTAGTGGTGCTACAACAGGAAGATTAGGTTGCAACACCATAAATTAATGGGATTAAGGCATACATTAGTGGTGCTACAGCACAGATTAGTTGGCTACATGATAGGTATTATACTAAGAATATGTTATTGGTGCTCAGGTATAAGGTACTGCACCACTACTCGCCATGTTACATCAGGATGAGTAAGTGGTGCGTAACCAAGGTTAGTAGTGCTAGAGAATCGGGAAATAGTGTTCCAGGAAGTTAGGTTAGTGCAAGTTAGGTTAGTGCAAGTTAGGTTAGTGCAAGTTAGGTTAGTGCAAGTTAGGTTAGTGCAAGTTAGGTTAGTGCAAGTTAGGTTAGTGCAAGTTGGGTTAGTGCTCTTACAGAAAGGAGAAGAGTAGTGCTACATTATGGATGAGTGGTTCCACAGAACTGGTGATACATCAGGAAGAACAGTGGTGCAACAGCATAAATTAGAGGTGCTAGAGTATAAACTGATGGTTCTAGAACATGAATAAATACTACAGTATAAATCAGTGGTGTTACAGTATAAACTAGTAATGACAAAGCATAAATTAGTATAATATAATAATATGTCTATTTCAACAAGTACATGTACAAGGTATACAAGTCTAGCTGACATCAGTGACATACTGTTACATGGAAAACCTCTTGTTATGCGGAACATTTCGGGCAAATTAGTTCGGTTTTGTCCCAGGATGCGACCCACACCAGTCGACTAACACCCAGGTACCCATTATTAATGATGGTTGAACATAGAAACCTGTGTAAAGAAACACGCTCAATGTTTCTACCCTCGCCGGGAATCGAACTCGGACACCTCACCGTGTGAAGCGAAAGCTTTTGCCACCAGGCCACGAGCCACCTTGGTGCTGGAGTATAAATTAGTGCTGCAGCATAAATTAATAATGCTACAGCATAAATTAATGGTGCTAGAGTATAAATTAGTGGTGCTATAACATTAATTAGTGGTGCTATAGCATAAACTAGAGTACAAATTAGTGGTGCTATAGCATCAACTAGTGGCGATACAACAGATATTTTGGTGGTGCTCTGCAAAAATTAATGGAGCTACAATATGAGTTAGCAGAGACACAGCATAGCTTAGTGGTGTTAGAGCAGGGAGTTTAGTGATGCTACAGTAGGGGATTTAGTGGTGCTACAGCTTTAAAAAGTGGTGGTACAGAAATAATTCATAGTATTGCAGCAAGTAGATTAGTTGTGATACAGCATAAATTAGTGGTGCTATAGCAAGGAGACTAATGGTGTTACAACAAAGATTAGTGGTGCTACAACAGAAAGATTAGTGATACTGATTAGTGTCTTTTTCTTCAGTGTGACGAATTTATTTTGAGTGGGGCTCCAAACCTCCCCCCTCCCATTAAAAATTGAGTGGGGGCTCTGCTCCTCTCCCTTTTTTGACCCCTCACCCCATTTTTTACCCCCTCCTCAACCCCCTCATTTTTTTCTGCCCCATTTCAGCGCCCTTCTACTCCCGGATCGCCCATGCTCTATTTCCTCGGATCAAGTTTCTAGGGTTGCCAAATTTCAAGTTTATTTTTTTCTATTTTTTCATAGTTATATCAAAGGCAAACCCCCTAGAGGCGCGCTCCGTCTCCTCAGATCAAGTTCATATCATTTGCTTCATATCAAGAAGCATAAATAATAGGAATCCTCAGGTTGTTCTTCAACTCTATATACCTTTGGTTAGGTCTCATTCAGTCTATGCTGCAGAGTTCTGGTCACCGTATTACAGAATGGATATAAATGCACTGGAAAGCGTACAAAGGAGGATGACAAAGTTGATCCCATGTATCAGAAATCTTCCCTATGAGGACAGACTGAGGGTCCTGAATCTGCGCCGTCTTGAAAGGCATGGAATTATGGTGGATACGATTGAGGTGTATAAATGGAAAACAGGAATAAATGGTATGTAAATATGCAAAAAATATCTAGCCAAGACAGGATTCGCAGCAATGGTTTTAAGTTGGAAAAAATCAGATTCAGAAAGGATATAGGAAAGCACTGATTTGGTAACAGAGTTGTGGATGAGTGGAAAAAAATCCCGAGTAACGTCATAGAAGCTAAAACGTTCTGTAGGTTTAAAAATATGTTTGATAAACAAATGAGTGGGTGTGAGTTGGACCTGACTAGCTTGTGCTACTAAGTCTCATGCCGTGCTCCTTCTTTAAGTGAATGTGACCTGGCCTGACTAGGTTTGGGTATTGGCATAAGCCGGTAGGAGACTTGGACCTGCTTCGCATGGGCAAGTAGGCCAGTTGCAGTGTTCTTTATGCTCTAATGTTCTCATGTTTCAGACTTGAGTAAATGAAGTGTGAAGTGTCACTTCCTTACATTTATTCATAAGACCTCTCAGCTAAATACCAACGTGTTATTAGTTAGCATATTAAATCAAGAGGAAAGCATATTCAATCAAGTAGGCATGTTCAATCAATTATTTTATTTTATTAACACAATCGGCCGATTCCCACCAAGGCAGGGTGGCCCGAAAAAGAAAAACTTTCATCATTCACTCCATCACTGTCTTGCCAGAAGGGTGCTTTACACTACAGTTATAAAACTGCAACATTAACACCCCTCCTTCAGAGTGTAGACACTGTACTTCCCATCTCCAGGACTCAAGTCCAGCCTGCCGGTTTCCCTGAATCCCTTCATATATGTTACTTTGCTCACACTCCAACAGCACGTCAAGTATTAAAAACCATATGTCTCCATTCACTCCTATCAAATACGCTCTGGCACGCTTGCTGAAAGTCCAAGCCCTTCGCACACAAAACCTCCTTACCCCCCTCCCTCCAACCCTTTTTAGGCCGACCCCTACCCCACCTTCCCTTCACTACAGATTTATACACTCTCGAAGTCATTCTGTTTTATTCCATTCTCTCTACATGTCCGAACCACCTCAACCCCTCCTCAGCCCTCTGGATAATAGTTTTGGTAATCGCACACCTCCTAATTTCCAAACCACGAATTTTCTGCATTATATTCACACCACACACATTGCCCTCAGACACGACATCTCCACTGCCTCCAGCCTTCTCCTCGTTGCAACATTCATCACCCATGCTTCACAACTATTCTCTCATACATTCCCTTCTTTGCTTCCACGGATAAAGTTCTTTGTCTCCACAGACTCCTGAGTGTACCACTCACCCTTTTCCCGTCATCAGTTTTGTGATTCACCTCATCTTTCATAGACCCATCTGCTGACACATCCACTCCTAAATATCTGAATACATACACCTCCTCCATACTTTCTCCCTCCAATCTCATGTCCAGTCTTTCGTCACCTAATCTTTTTGTTATCCTCATAACCTTACTCTTTCCAGATCCATAAATGCCACAAAATTCTATTTACCCTCAACTAAATACTGCTCACTTATATGTTTCACTGTAAACACCTGGTCTACACATCCCCAACCTTTCCTAAAGCCTACTTGTTCATCTGCTATCCTACTCTCCTTCTTACTCCTAATTCTTTCAATAATAATTCTGCCATACTCTTTACCAGGTATTCTCAACAGACTTATTCCCCTATAATTTTTGCACTCTCTTTTATCCCCTTTGCCTCTATACAAAGGAACTATGCATGCTCTATGCCAATCTCTAGGTACCTTACCGTCTTTCATACATTTATTAAATAGCACCAACCATTCCAAAACTATATATCCCCACCTGCTTTTAACATTTCTATCTTTATCCCATCAATTCCAGCTGCCTTACCCCCTTTCATTCTACCCACTGCCTCACGAACTTCCACCACACTCACAACTGGCTTTTCCTCACTCCTACAAAATGTTATTCCTCCTTGCCCAATATACGAAATCACAGCTTCCCTATCTTCATCAACATTTAACAATTCCTCAAAATATTCCCTCCATCTTACCGATACCTCTAACTCTCCATTTAATAACTCTCCTAATTTTAACTGTCAAATTCATTTGTTCCCTAGGCTTCCTCAACTTATTAATCTCAGTCCAAAACTTTTTCTTATTTTCAACCAAATTTGTTGATAACATCTCACCCATTCTCTCATTTGCTCTCTGTTTAGATTGCTTCACCACTCTCTGAACCTCTCTTTTTCTCTCCATATACTCTTCTTCCTTCCATCACTTGTACTTTGTAAAAACCTCTCATATGCTA